GATCATTTTGGTATATATAACCCTATATCTGACTCTTTTAGTTTTAGGACTTACAAACAACCGTTATGTGAACAAAACTATAATACTCTCTTTAGCAACATTGTTGCGAGAGTATAAAAAGTGTGATTTAAGTAAAAATTTAAAGATTTGCGAAGCATATCAAAATCGGCTAAAGCTGTATCATGCAAATCTTGGGAATATATTCTGAATGGTGAATATATTTCCTTTATTTTATAAAGAATGATTTACTATTTTGATAACATTAATCAGGTTATAATATGTTACGTTCTATTGTATGCTGGTACCGAGGTGAAATAGCAATGAAATTTGCAGCGCCGAGAATTCGGAAGGAACCGAATGATCATCACTTAGTCCGTTAATTTTGCATAGTTAAGGGGTCAGTAGGGTCTGGTCTGTTTTTTGACAATCTCGTTATAGAATTTTTGTTTTATTCTTTCATTGAAACTTTTTTTTTCGGAATTTTTTAATGACATTTGTCGAAGAAATAGCTGGGTGAATGACTGGCGGACACGATTTCTCATGTTTGGATCATCTGAAACATAAAAACCCAATTTATTCTTAAAAAGGACGTGAATGGTTATTGTCCCTATTAGAGTCATGAAAAAATTGGGGTAAATGCAAAAGTAATTAACGTTTTCTTTTTTTCAATGTTTCCCCATGTTTTATTTTACAAACATTTCGTCAAAACATTGTCAATAAATTATAGAAAATTATAAATCTAGTAGGGCCGACGTTTTGTGAACATTTAAAAAAAGTAAGCAAATCGTTTGAGTGTTTCGACCGGAATCATGTCCGTCAGTTTAAAAAGTGTGTTTTGAGAAAAACGCGTTTACAGTTTGAGGTACTGAAAAAGCATATAACTCCATCCTTATATAAACGTTGCAAAAAGCGTCAAGCGGTATTATTATTTTTGCGCCTTTTTTGAAACCTTCCAATTTTAAAGTGGGCTTCTGAGAACAGAAAATGCAAAAAAAAAGACGTGTGGCACTCGGGGACTGCCGCGGTAAAGCTATTGCATAGCATTTTGTATTAACTTATGCAATTATAATTATTTCTTTTCTTTGATATTAATTCAAGTTAACCGAAGTCAGAAATTCCCTAACGAAAAAATCTCACGCGCCCCAC